TTCTCTTCTCTTCCCGCTGTGTCTCCGTCCTCTCAAGTTATTTTTTTTGTGGCGGCTCGGCAGAGAAGCGCGGAAAGATTGTGTCGGAAAGGGCTTTTGTGGCTTTTGGAGATTTCAACCTGGCCAGGCACAGCGGTGGTAAAACTGGGGACAGGGAACTGGGGGCAGCAAACTGGGGACAGGGGACTGGGACAGGGAACTGGGCTGACAGGGTGTCGGTGCTGTGCGCTGGGGCTGGTGGCTGTGAGCTGGCTGCGTGCGCTGTTAACTTGGAGCCTGGTGCTAGTGCTGCTGCAGAGTGCTGCCGGATGAGTGGCCGCGTGCGCTTTGGAGATTCCACTAAGGGTGCCGCTATGGTGCTGCTTACAAATATCTTTGCTGTCCAGGCTTAATTGCAGCCTTTCAGTCAAGCAGCCAGTGGTTAAGGCTGATCAAAGCCTAAAGCACTCTTTGAATCGTAAGGAATATCCATGGTTGTAGTAGTCACTGAGGACACCACCAGGGACTTTGGTCAGCATAAAGCGGGGAGACAGCAGATGCCACCCTGTGCGGGACATGGCAACCCGTGGCCCGGAGGTCAGCCACTGAGCTACTACAGCACTTTCTGCTTCGATGTTTCCTTGCTCGAAATTGCCAAGCGCCGTTGCTAATCGAGTATAACCTTTGCCGAACCGTCCATATTCCTTGGCAAAGGCATAGTTGGGTTCAGCTGCCGTGTCCTCGTCCTCCGTGGCTTCCTCAGTGCTATTCTTCTGGTGGTTCAGCAAGCCCCACTGACACAGGGAGAGCAAGTCTAGGCGACCGTTCAGCTGACCCGGTAGCGTCAGAGGCAGAGTCTTCTTCTGCAGGCAAGTCAGCAGTGGAGTGTTTGGCAGTTGTCAGGTCTCTCCACAAGGGGACTTCGATGCGCAGCCTCAGCTGCAGAAGGGAAGGAAACGAGAAAGCTTGTCCCAAAGACGGGTCAAGGGCACCACTTGAGTAGGCTCTTTCAGCCCAGGAAGTATCCGGCATTCGGGGGTATCGGTCGTAAGCAATGTCTTTAGTGTGCACTCCCACCACGAGCAAGGAGTTGTCTTCAGCACCCTCTTCTTTTGGTCGGTAACCACAGCTCTCCTTCACTTCCGCGGGCGTGAAGCCCTGCCGCTCCATGGCTACAACCAGGTCAGGCAGGATTTGCACCAGTAGATAGACAAAGAGGTCATTGGTGGGTAGCGTCTGCTCCCCATGCTCCATTCCCCTAACAAAGGACATGATGACAGTGCGCATAAAGGTGAAGGCATCGACATCTTTT